TTCAACTCGTAAGTATCGGCCGAAATCAGAGGAACTCGGACGATTCCGGTAGGAATCGTTCCGAGACGAAAAAGCCAGTGCAAAGTCCCCAAAATCTGAGACAAAAACAAAAAATCCAAAACCTACATCTGTAAAGGCCTAAAAATCAGTCACTCATTTTTTCAGGCTGAAAAAAATCCAAAAAAAAAAAAAAGGAGGATGGGAAATAAAGCAAAGAATCAAAAGACCAGTCTGCTACANTTTTCAGGCTGAAAAAAATCCAAAAAAAAAAAAAAGGAGGATGGGAAATAAAGCAAAGAATCAAAAGACCAGTCTGCTACACTCATCAGAAACCCATGTAAAACTAAGCGTACATGGCAGAAACCATATGAAATTGGTAACTTAAACCCTCTTTTTCAACTATAAAAATCAAGAGGACTAAGGATTTACGACATACCTGTAGATCGAACCAAATAGGGTCTGCAATCTGCATCTTCTTCTTCTGTTTTTCCTTCGATTCTTCTTTCTCCTTTGCTGTGACGATAGGCAAAGAATCGCCGTTGGTGGTGAGTTTCGCTGTTGCTGTGACGATAGGAGTGGTTCTCTCTATCTGCCTCTCTCTCTCTCTCTCTCGTTGTGACTGGCACAGACGACTGTGCAGGTGCCAGGTANGCAAAGAATCGCCGTTGGTGGTGAGTTTCGCTGTTGCTGTGACGATAGGAGTGGTTCTCTCTATCTGCCTCTCTCTCTCTCTCTCTCGTTGTGACTGGCACAGACGACTGTGCAGGTGCCAGGTACGTAGGCCAAAAAAAAACTGGCTTAGGGGCTTTTTTTTTTTTTCCTGAGCCTTTAAATATTTATATTTTTCATTGAAATCATATAAAACAAATAAGTCAAGTGCCAGAGATGCACGTTATCAACCAGGAAATCATAGTTTCAATTCCTACGTCCCTCGGCAGACTGTAATTTTTTTCTGGCTGCCTTTTTTTTTGTTTTCAGGCTTTTTACTTATTCTTTAAATATATGTATTTGTTTTTAAAATCATATAAAAGGAATAGGTTAATTGGTAGAGATTCATGTTACCAAATTGGAACAGGCGTTTTTTTTTTCCTGGCTTTTCAGGCTTTTTTTTTTTGTGTGAAAAAAAAAGTCTCAATGAAAAATTAGGTACATTAATATTTTATAATAATAATTAAAAAATAAGTATTTTTTTTAATTTAATATAATGAATGGATATATGTTCTATTTCAAATTATGTAAAATTAAATGTTACAATTACGTTAGTTTTATATTTAAATTACTTATTTATTAAATAAATATTTCAAGTATTGTTTTTAATAATCAAAAAAATTATAAATGAAAAACTAAAATAGAAAAAAGAAAAATAGAACTAAATATTTCTGAAATTTTTAAATCAGTCAATTTCATGTTATTTATTTACTTATTTGGAATTTGTGACATTGTAGAATGGCTCCTAAACAACATGATGGGATAAAAATAAATAGTTTGATTTGTGTTTTAATTTTAGATAAGAACAAAAGTATAGGGAGAAAAAAAAATGATTAGTGATGTTTAATGTACACTACTTTTTTTTATCTTTTCAAACTTTTTTTTTTTGCCAAATTTAATTTTNTGTGACATTATAGAATGGCTCCTAAACAACACGATGGGATAAAAATAAATAGTTTGATTTGTGTTTTAATTTTAGATAAGAACAAAAGTATAGCAAGAAAAAAAAAATGATTAGTACACTACTTTTTTTTTATCTTTTCAAACTTTTTTTTTTTTTGCCAAATTTAATTTTGTGTGTTATTGGACTGAATTTTTGGGCCCACGACATTTAACTAAGATTTTTTGATTAATTGAATTTTTTTGTTGAAATTAATTTTTATAAATTTAAATTTTTTATATGGAACTATGTTATAGATATAAAAAGTTGGCACTTCTTTTTTAATTAGAGCCTGAAGCCCTTCCTTTTAACGGCTTTATGAATGGGCGGGGCTTGAAAACTTATAGTATTGGAATGAGTTTGTAGGCAATGGGTAATATTTCTGGAAGAAAACTTGACATCGGAAAACGCAATCTTTTCTTCTTCTTTTTTTCTGGATTAGTGAAGAATGGGGGTAGAAAGAGCAATCTTTATCTTTGAATCAGTAAGATCACAGTACCTTTGATGGATTAGGATTAGAGTTTATTTTTCTTCTGTGTTGCCCAGTTTAGGTTCAATCGATTTTCTCATATGTAAATCTTTTTGTTCAATGGATTTGATGGAGAACACGGTTGAGCTTGTAATGCAAACGGCCTGGGTTAGCTTCATAGACAAGTTCGATTCGCTCCATAGACATACTATTTCAATTTTTTTCACTTGAAACTTGAAAAGAAAGACATACTAGTTCAATCGTCGGCAACCTTTCTATCTCTTTTGGAGAACAAATGAAATCAATATATTGAATTGGACGAAAACTGGANATTTTTATAAATTTAAATTTTTTATATGGAACTATGTTATAGATATAAAAAGTTGGAACTATGTTATAGATATAAAAAGTTGGCACTTCTCAATCGTCGGCAACCTTTCTATCTCTTTTGGAGAACAAATGAAATCAATATATTGAATTGGATGAAAACTGAAAGTGTTGGAATATGTGTCGTGGGTAATGGGTTATGTTTTTAGAAGGATACTTACATCGGAAAACTATTAATCAAGGACATAAACTAATAATATGAGGCCATTTATTTTTTATGATTTGCATGAGCAAAGAATAGTATTAAAGGTCAATCTTTTTCAAGTTTCAAGTGAAAAGAACTAAAATAGTATGTCCGTGAAGCGAGTCGAACTTGCCTATGAAGTTAATTTGGCCCGTTTGCATTAAAAGTACAACCATGTTCTCCATTAAATCCATTGAGCAGAAAGATTTACACATAAGAAAACCAATTGAACCTAAACTGGGAANAAATTTAAATTTTTTATATGGAACTATGTTATAGATATAAAAAGTTGGAACTATGTTATAGATATAAAAAGTTGGCACTTCTCAATCGTCGGCAACCTTTCTATCTCTTTTGGAGAACAAATGAAATCAATATATTGAATTGGATGAAAACTGAAAGTGTTGGAATATGTGTCGTGGGTAATGGGTTATGTTTTTAGAAGGATACTTACATCGGAAAACTATTAATCAAGGACATAAACTAATAATATGAGGCCATTTATTTTTTATGATTTGCATGAGCAAAGAATAGTATTAAAGGTCAATCTTTTTCAAGTTTCAAGTGAAAAGAACTAAAATAGTATGTCCGTGAAGCGAGTCGAACTTGCCTATGAAGTTAATTTGGGCCGTTTGCATTAAAAGTACAACCATGTTCTCCATTAAATCCATTGAGCAGAAAGATTTATACATAAGAAAACCAATTGAACCTAAACTGGGAAACACAGAAGAAAAATAAACTTTAATTTTAATCCATCAAAAAGTACTGTGATCTTACTGATTTATAAATAAAGATTGCTCATTCTACCCCATTCTTCACTAATCTAGAACAAAAAAAAAAATTGCGTTTTCCGATGTCAAGTTTCCTTCCAAAAACATTAGTCATTGCCCCCAAACTTATTCCAACACTATAAGTTTTCAAGCCCGGCCCATTCACAATGCCGTTAAAGGAAGGGGTTTAGGTCCTAATTAAAAAAGAAGTGCCAAATTTTTATGTCTATAACATAGTCCATATCAAAAATTTAAATTTATAAAAATTAATTTCAACAAAATAAAATTAAATTAAAATTTCAATCAATAAAAAAATCTTAGTTAAATATCGTGGGCCCAAAAGTTCAGTCCAATAANAAAATAAAATTAAATTAAAATTTCAATCAATAAAAAAATCTTAGTTAAATATCATGGGCCCAAAAGTTCAGTCCAATAACACACACAATTAAATTTGGCAAAAAAAATAATAATGTTGAAAAAATAAAAAAAAGTAATGTACATTAGACATTACTAATCTTTTTTTTTTCTCGCTATACTTTTGTTCTTATCTAAAATTAATACACAAATCAAACTATTTATTTTTATCCCATCGCCCTTGCAATCTCATTCTCTCTCTCTCTCTCTTTNTACTTTTGTTCTTATCTAAAATTAAAACACAAATCAAACTATTTATTTTTATCCCACCGCCCTTGCAATCTCATTCTCTCTCTCTCTCTCTCTCTCTATCTATTACGAATGGAGTACATTTTTAGATAACTTTGGTCAACTATTTGATAAATTTTTTGTGGTAGGCATGACACCACTGGTAATATAATTCTCTCTTCAAGATCATGATCTGGGTAATATCCTAATTAACATCATACCCTAAAATGGATATATTTTGAAGGCTCGCTTGTCTAACTCTACTATTCAAGACAATATTCAATGCAACGGTGATATCATATCAGCATTATCAGTGACATCATCAACTAATAATATATAAACAAACAAGTAAAAAAATAAACCCCCACATAAATCCATAACTACTCGTCTTTGTAAATCAATAAATACTTATTCTTCTTTTATGTAAAACGATAACTATTCAAGTAAAGTTTACCTTGTATATTTGGTATTTTATTATTGGTTGATGATATCANTATCATATCAGCATTATCAGTGACATCATCAACTAATAATATATAAACAAACAAGTGAAAAAATAAATCCCCACATAAATCCATAACTACTCGTCTTTGTAAATCAATAAATACCTATTCTTCTTTTATGTAAAACGATAACTGCTCAAGTAAAATTTACCTTGTATATTTGGTATTTTATTATTGGTTGATGATATCATATGATAATGCTAACAAATATCATTGTTGCATTGAATATTTATTCCTACTATTCTCCACCGTTCGGAATCCAAAAATAAGCTGCATTAGAGCTGGAAAAAATTTATTATCATTATTTTTTCAAACCGATGCGTGATCCCTATCCATCTACGAATCAGAATTAGATCACCACAAATACATATTTTTTTAAATTCTCATGGTAATAGATAAATCGATATAAATCCAAGTAGAAGTCACTATATATAAACAAATTCCTATAAATGTGCATGGTGGATAATCTATTATAGCCTAACAATATGTATTGTAGGAGAACTTTCATAGCTATATTTCTATTTGCAGATTGTGAATTCAAGAAAAAAAACACCTTACAAAGAGCAACCACATTAGGGACCCTATTTAACTGAAACACAATCTCTTGATCTCTGGTTTTCCTCAGCTGATCTTTCATGTGTGATGCACATATAGGAGAATAGTTTCTCCCAAAAGAACTGCTTGTCTGAACCTGTAATTTAGACAGCTTAGCCAACTCAAAAGACTATAGACACTTCATCTAGGGAAAATTGAATTTTGACAGCAAAGTGTATGCATTCTAGCATTGTCAAGTATATCATATAAGCAGATAAAGGGCACCCCATCAAGTTCTATGTAAAGGTAAGACAATATCAAGACAAAAGTAACTCATTATTAGCTTTTTTCAACCTTGAATAGAGGCAACACAATCACAGAAAAATTTATGCAACGGGGAGGAGGACCTACTTCTCGTATATAACCACAGAGCCGTACCCCCCCCCCCCCAAAAAAAAAAAAAAAAACACACACACAGAGACAGACAGAGGCCTCTATAACAAAAATGAGTGATGGTGCAAATATTTACATGAAAGCTTATAAGGAATATAGTACTTTCCCCCTCGACAAATGAAACCATTGGTTGTTTTGGTGATATGTAATATATACATTATCACGATCGGGTTGTTTCTGGAAGTATCATGATAGGAGTTGCATTGTCGGTAGTGAAAGGATCCAAAAATGATAATCATCTGACATAGTGGATAGTAAATAAATCAGGTGCAGTAAATTGCAAAGANGTTTCTGGAAGTATCATGATAGGAGTTGCATTGTCGGTAGTGAAAGGATCCAAAAATGATAATCATCTGACATAGTGGATAGTAAATAAATCAGGTGCAGTAAATTCCAAAGATCCTACAAAAAGTAGACCCCAAAATGACTGCAGTGCAGACACTGAAAAACCTAAGCAAAATCGGAGTTCAGAATGTTTGACCCAAATTAAGTAATAACTTTTTTCTCTTCTCATTCTCCTTTCCAACGTGCCCCTCAAATGCAATAAACACAACATGAAAGAAAAACTTTTATTAGTTTACCCTTTTACCTTACTTCAAAAGTGTCCATGGAGTATTAAGGTGGGAACAATATATAGGACCATGCAGCACAATACAGTAATGAGACAGGCAGAATCTGCAGGTGGAACTCAATCCTAATTGACCACCAGGTCAACATGGCAGCCAACTGGGATGCATCAAATGTCGGTCGTGCCTGGACTTAGCACAAGTCAAGTGACTGAAGGCATCATTGAGTCTCACCCTATTGGGACAGCCACCGGGACTGGAAAGAACATGGCCGCCCACAATGCCCGTGTGGGTAGTGGTACCAACACTGGTTATCGAAATGGCAAATGGTTAGAGTGGATAAATTTGTGTTACACACATTCTCAAACGATGGATAAAGAAACTAGGGTTGATTGTTTAGTGCTCACTTTCTGTTAAGAAGTCTATCTTTGATGGTTTTGTGTAGCTTTTACTATTTACAATAATAGTTATGTAATTGCTTGTGTGAAAAAAAAAAAAAAAAAGATTCCTTTGTCTGTCAAAAGGGAATGCAAAGTAACAGAAGCAGTTGTTGCAAAAGGGTTATCACATAGAAGTGACATTGTCAAGAGTCAAGACATATATCATGGCTCTCTTTTTTCACTTTTGCGAGGTCCAGTAAACAACTACAATAATCGTTGTCCTGTGTAATCTGGCAACTGCAGGGGTCATCAATCACTGCCTGCTTTAGGTCCTCTACGTNCTCTCTTTTTTCACTTTTGCGAGGTCCAGTAAACAACTACAATAATCGTTGTCCTGCGTAATCTGGCAACTGCAGGGGTCATCAATCACTGCCTGCTTTAGGTCCTCTACATCTAGGGCATTGAAACATACCTCCATTGAAGTTAGGGAATGAACATTTTGTCCTCGGACTTCTCCAATATTCTCTGCCTGAACAATCTATTGTATGAAAGAGACATAAATCCAAGCGATGATTCCAGCATACTCCGTCTACCATTGTTCTGCAAAACAATAACTTCAGACTTATGCTCTAGAACAAACTTTGAAAAAAGACTAAAAAAAGCAAGACAAAGAACACTTGGCATCATGACTGCATTGATAGATATTCAAATTCAGCTTGGGATTTTGCATTTCTAGTTGGGATAGTAAGTGTTTTATATTTATTACATCAACTCACTTGTCTCTACACAAATTTTGCCGAAAAAAGAAATCTAAACCAGAACACTTGAACCCTTGGCAATAAAAACCTCTAAGATGACCAAATCAACTTCCTTATTTTTTTTGTCCCTTTTGACAGCCTACTTTAGTAGAACATACATGCTTTATCCATAGGGATGAAGATACACATGCCAAGTTTCTGATTTTCTTTAAAAGAAATGAGTCCAAAATCTAATTTTCTGATAAACAACAAGAATATAGGGAATTGAAAAATACACGTCAATCATTGTATGTGAATTTACGCAAGTCACACGGACAACCAAAATGCTACAACAAATTTCTCAATGTCAAACGGAATTCCTATTCATTTACATTAGAAGGAAAAGTAAGAGCATTAACACATTCAACATATTCTTTACAACTTACTATGCGACAAATCCATGTCCCAAGAGCTAATTAGTCCATTATCACAAGCATCCTCAATGTAAGAATTGAAAAAATTTAAGGATTCAGCAACTCCATATTGATCCCCATCATCACCCTTCATATATTGCTCCAATGTTCTCCCGCAAAATTTCAATTGATCTTCTGAGGAACTCCTTTCAGCCTCGTGTGTAGTTATAATCCACTGTAATGACTGAATCACTGCTTGATCATGAAGTTGCTTCTCCTCAGCCACCCGACGGTATTGATTAGCTTCCATTTCAATCAAGCCCTTCTCATTTTGAATGCGCAAAATCATCGCCATTGCCTCCTCAGCAGCAGTGGCAGCTGCCATTCTTTCCTTCTCAAGTTCCAAATATGCAGCATTTGCCCTTCTTCTCTCAATCATGACCAATTTTCTCAATGCCATTACATCCATTTCTTCATCTTCATCATAACGTTCTTCTTCTTTTTCATCATCACCATCATAATATTCTTCAACCAAAAGAGCCTTCACTTTAGCATCAGCATTACTATTCCCAATGCTTTTATTTTCCTCAAATTTACAAGTCATAACTGGGTTTGAATTCTCCAAAAAATTCAACAATCGACACTTGGAAGAGAAGAATTTCGGATCAAATCCATTTTTCAAACGCAATCCATTTCTCAATTTACTTGATTGTCTTCTAAAATTGCATAGAAATCGAATCAAACCCTTGCAATAGCAACTGAATTGCAAGACCTTCAAGCCCAATCCGAAAAGCAATAACAAACCCACAACATTGAACACTCGACCAAAACACCCAAATAGCAAATACCCACATCCGAAATCACTCATCAGCATCAAATCCTTCAAGCATGAAACACAGTCCATCAAGAAGAACCCCACAAAATAGTCCACAAATTCTTTAGTAAAAGCCAAGAACAGAGCAGAGAATACGTAGTAAACACAAGTAACCATAATATGCATGTGGGTTGTGGTTCTAGGGGGGCTTAATATATTCTTCAAATTCGAGTGTGAATGGCTCAAACTCAATTTGTATTCAACATAAAACTATTGAGACCAAATATACTGTGTTGCTTTTTTATGCTTTTGTATATTTTACTCTATCTTATCACTCTAGCCCACCACCATAGAAGAAAGAGACAGGAGTATGGAACCACCGACCTTGTTGGCTGTTCAAGTTGCGAGAACGAGAGAGAGAGAGAGAGTGGGTGGATATTGGGGAGCGAAAAAAGAGGGCGTAAAGTTCGAGGAAGAGGATCAGAGTCGGCGGTGGGTCTGAAAGATCTCAGTGAATAGAATACCGTTTGGGACGGGCACCATGTTATTATATTCCGCTGTTTGGAGTTACTTAGTGGTTTTTAAAATTTATTTATTTAAGTATAAATGACATTTTATACATCAAAGATTTTAAAATATTCAATTTATATATTCAAAGATTAATTATTTTAAATTATACCCTTAACAAAATTCAAAATTAATCGGTAACAACACGATCCAACATAATGTTTGTGGTGATTTCCGTCAGATTAAGTGAGACAAAGAGCCTTCTAGTAAAAAAATTAATTTGACAAAAACAGAAGTTAGGTTTACATTCTTACAAATTAAAATAATTGATTTTTGGGCATGTAAATTAAAATATTTAAAAATTTTAGGATATAAAGTATCATTTGCCCTTTATTTAGATACCGTATTTAATAGTTTGATGTTTTTAAAAAAGATTTACTTTTGAAAATGCATTCAAATATACACTTTTATATTTTGGCTTAAATATCTGGTTCCATGGAAAAGAAATTTCAGAAATATGTATTTTTTATTATTGGTTGAAAATTATAATAAAAGTAAAAAAAAAAATTGCTGAAGGGTCAAATTTTTACTAAATAAAATATTAAAAAATTAATTTTTGATATAATAACAGAACCCTAAAATAAATGGCTAATTAGACAACAGCAACAAGAAATTCAGTGCAAAATAAAGCACGAGGAATGAATTCTTTTAATGTTGGATCTCCCGAGATAACATTCACTGTACAAAACTTTTTTTCTTACGCTGTCTTGAATGTAAGTAAGGGAGAGGGCAATTAGACATTTCCAATAGAGATTGTGTCGGCTTTGACTTTTTGCATGTGCCTTCTTGTGCATTACACAAAAATTCACTCAAGGTGTAACAATAGGAATAATTTCGTTACCGTGTCTCTAATTTTTAATATTTTAATAAGTACTTTTATAAGTCATTTTATAATCAAAAAATTTATACTTTTGTTAGTGTTTTATCACTTTTATGGCGATAGTAGCCACCGCTATTATCGAGCGACTGTTGTAGTCTCGATATCCTATTTCTGACTTACAACCATCAATATTCGTCATTTAGTATGTGTCCTCATAGTTTTTTAGTGAAAATTCAGTAAGGTTCGCTTAGTCTCATACACCCACTCAAAATGATTATCGGATAAGGTTGGTCTTTTGCTGATAAAAAAATCGGGTTGCTTATAGCACTTTGGCCTGAGTGTGTCTCCCGCAGACAACAAATGTTATTTATCAAGGACATGGAACGTACTTCTTTACCCAAATCTATGGCTTCAATCATTGTTGGGGTAACTATTTTTACTACAAAAAAAATTATCATATTTATTAGTGTTTTTATCATATTTGTGGATGTTTTTGTCATTGTAATAATAATTATTTTATTATTTTTTTTTTTGGTATATTACAGCAGTGATAAAAATATTTACAAATATTTTAAAAATACTCACAGATACAGTTAAAAATGGAAACGGTACGGAATTTAGACACCTTCATAAAAGTATGTTAAGGCTACGGTACGATAGTCATTGATAAACAAATACTTGTGCCCCAAGTGCAGAATATTTTTCAAGTCAAACTACGACCTCCACTTATTCCTTTGTCAAAAACTGCTGTATGTAACTTGGAGGCCAAGGCCACAAACTCTTACTTTAGGCCCTCCAACCACAGCAACTGTGTATCTAAGCTTTGTGAGCACAAAAAAATGGCTCTAAAGGCAAAGAAAGTGAAGAAACAAGTCTCAGGTGACAAAGATGCCACCATCACAAGGCCATGGCCTGATCTTCCCCAACAACTCCTCCAATTAATATCGAGGCAATCGACACTAATGCAAAGAATCAGTTATCGGGGTGTCACGAAATCATGGAGGGCATCACCAAGACAATGCAACACTAGAGGAAAATCACCATGGCCCCAACTATCCGATGATGGTGATCATGTTTGGAGCGATGACAAATCTCATCCGAACTTTTTCAACATCTCGTTTCATCACGGTTGCATTTGGTGGTATGGTCGGAAGCCTCCCGAGTACTGTTATTACCATTGGACACATTTTGTGGGCTACTGTTATGGTTTACTAGTTACTAGAGGCAAAGAATTGTGTCTTTGTGAGCCTAATAAAAGAATTTCGTGTCGTCTTCCACCTTGGGATGACAATATTCCTATTAAATTTATCACTCTATCTTCATCTCTTAAAAATGCTGTACTTAGTGCACGAGAGTCCCGTCATTACAGGATTTGGGGAGGGTTTGATGTAGACTGTATTGTGTTGGTGTTAACAGGCATTTGCTCTCCGGCTTTTGTGTACCACATAAGGTATGGAAGAGGTGAATTGGAATGGAAGAGCCAAGACTGCACTGTCATTGACCCGTATGGTTCAGATCAGCAGTTTATGAAATTCAGTAATGTCATACACTTTGAAGGAAAGTTCTATGCATTGAGTTTGCAAGGAACACTTGCAGTTATAAAATTCATCGATTCTCGTCTTAGTATCACCTCCATAAGTACAAGCAGAGCTGTTCCTTCTGTATTCTCAAAACATTTTAGAGAATATTTAGTTGAATCTGATGGGGAAATCTTACTGGTTTTCTTAATCTCTACAAAATCTATGAACTTAGTTGATGATGTTGAGGTTTTTCGGCTTGAATTTTCTAGATTGGCATGGGTTAAGATGGAGAGCCTTGGGGATAGGACTCTGTTTGCTGGGGCTAATTGTTTTATCTCTGTAAGTGCAAGCAAAGTGGGATGTAGGAGAAATTGCATTTATTTTACTCACAAGAGTGCTGATGGTTGGTGGGTATATGAAATGGAGAGTGGTAGCATCTCAGCTGGTTGGGACACTGCTGAATCTGTGACAAAATCTCCAGTTTGGGATCAAACAACAACCGAAGAATAACTACTTGTTTATAAATGATTTGTATGATTTCTAAATGATCTTTTAATAATTTTTTCATCTTCTTATTGTCTGAAAGCAATAAATCATTATCCTCTTGTGTCAATGCAATGTTGTAATGCAACTTTTTGGACCAGACCTTAGATATTCATTTAAACTGTTTCTTTATTACACCAGGATGCATCAAATGGGACTGCTAACAGTTCAAGAAAGTAAAAGGATCATCAAGGGATTAGAGAGNTTCGAGTGTGAATGGCTCAAACTCAATTTGTATTCAACATAAAACTATTGAGACCATATATACTGTGTTGCTTTTCTATGCTTCTGTATATTCTACTCTATCTTATCACTCTAGCCCACCACCATAGAAGAAAGAGACAGGAGTATGGAACCACTGACCTTGTTGGCTGTTCAAGTTGCGAGAACGAGAGAGAGAGAGAGAGAGAGAGAGAGAGTGTGTGGGTGGATATTGTGGAGCGAAAAAAGAGGACGTAAAGTTCGAGGAAGAGGATCAGAGTCGGCGGTGGGTCTGAAAGATCTCAGTGAATAGAATACCGTTTGGGACGGGCACCATGTTATTATATTCCGCTGTTTGGAGTTATTTAGTGGTTTTTAAAATTTATTTATTTAAGTATGAATGACATTTTATACATCAAAAGATTTTAAAATATTCAATTTATATATTCAAAGATTAATTATTTTAAATTATACCCTTAACAAAATTCAAAATTAATTGGTAACAACACGATCCAACATAATGTTTGTGGTGATTTCCGTCCGATTAAGTGAGACAAAGAGCCTTCTAGTAAAAAAATTAATTTGACAAAAACAGAAGTTAGGTTTACATTTTTACAAATTAAAATAATTAATTTTTGGGCATGTAAATTAAAATATTTAAAAATTTTAGGATATAAAGTATCATTTGCCCTTTATTTAGATACTGTATTTAATAATTTGATGTTTTTAAAAAAGATTTACTTTTGAAAATGCATTCAAATATACACTTTTACATTTTGGCTTAAATATCTGGTTCCATGGAAAAGAAATTTCAGAAATATGTATTTTTTATTATTGGTTGAAAATTTTAATAAAAGTAAAAAAAAAAAATTGCTGAAGGGTCAAATTTTTACTAAATAAAATATTAAAAAATTAATTTTTGATATAATAACGGAACCCTAAAATAAATGGCTAATTAGACAACAGCAACAAGAAATTCAGTGCAAAATAAAGCACGAGGAATGAATTCTTTTAATGTTGGATCTCCCGAGATAACATTCACTGTACAAAACTCTTTTTCTTACGCTGTCTTGAATGAAAGTAAGGGAGAGGGCAATTAGACATTTCCAAAGAGATTGTGTCGGCTTTGACTGTTTGCATGTGTCTTCTTGTGCATTACACAAAAATTCACTCAAGGTGTAACAATAGGAATAATTTCGTTACCGTGTTTCTAATTTTTAATATTTTAATAAGTACTTTTATAAGTCATTTTATAATCAAAAAATTTATTACTTTTGTTAGTGTTTTATCACTTTTATGGCGATAGTAGCCACCACTATTATCGAGCGACTGTTGCAGTCTTGATATTCTATTTCTGACTTACAACCATCAATATTCGTCGTTTAATATGTGTCCTCATAGTTTTTTAGTGAAAATCCAATAAAGTTCGCTTAATCTCATACACTCACTCAAAATGATTATCGAATAAGGTTGGTCTTTTGCTGATAAAAAAATCGGATNAGGCATAAAAAGGAATTAAATATTGGGTTAGCTAGTATGTATTCATTAGGGAAGTCAGGATAGAGTTTTAGTAGGAGCGTATTTTTTCATTTTGGTACAAAACGTAACCTATATATAATCACGTAATCTCTATTATTTTTATCAGAATATGAATTTAATTTGATTTGATTATTCTCTGTGGTGTTTCTCGGCCTAATCGTGCAAAAATTTGGTAATTCCTTCCCTTCTCTGCATCTGTAGGTGTCTTATTTATCTGAAGTTTCCTCTTGTCTATATTGTATCTAGACCAAGTCAAAGCTGTTCATGATGCCAATTGATGAAGGTTTCAACAAAAAAGTTTTAACTATTGTGGTTATTATTATTAGCATTAGTACATGTCTCTATCTTAGATTCTTTATCGTTCCTCTGCTGGTTTTCTCTAACAAAAGTAGAAAGCATAGAAGGAGATTGTATGTTCTTGTTTTGTCAATCAGCAGTTTTATACCTGTCATGCTAATGCCTTCTAAACTAACATATGGTTTTTCGGGTCTAAATTCGATATCATGAAAACAAAATTACAATCTGCTATGTTCCTCATCACAAAGAATACTTTCAAACTTAAGGCAGCTGTGCCAACAACAAAGGTTAATTATTATTGAACAATAAAGAGTAAAGTTGGCAATTGAACAGAAATTGGGCAACTGATATGAACAATGTTCTTCTGTACTACATATATTTGCGAATGAACTCAATTTGTAGAAGAAAGCAATGCTGGTGATGTAGTACCTTCAGACAGAGTGATGGGTTTGGACGAGTTGTTCTCACACCAAGAACTCCAGGATTGGGTTCGGTCTCTCTCAGGTTGGTCAAGGCCATACGATGATGTGAACAAAAATNCAATTTGTAGAAGAAAGCAATGCTGGTGATGTAGTACCTTCAGACAGAGTGATGGGCTTGGACGAGTTGTTCTCACACCAAGAACTCCAGGATTGGGTTCGGTCTCTCTCAGGTTGCAGACATATTCAATGGAGATGCTGAATAAGTTGACACAGGCATTGTTTTCGGAATATGGGGCAACGGAGCTTCAGAATCAAGCACTTGAATTGCTTGATTAATAGATGGCCGGAGAGTGTGATCTGGGTGAGCACACCAGAGCCCAACAAGCATTAACTGTTCCTCATCAAAATCTGCAGAAAGTTTGGGGTCAGCTGCTTCAATAAGCTTTCCTCTTCCATAGATCTCCCAAACCCAGTCCACCAGTCATATCTGACCATCTTTGGCCATGGGGTCGATGGGTTTTCTTCCGCAGGCTATTTCCAAAGCAACAATTCCATAGCTATAGGCATCTGATTCCTTGCTAGCCTTGCCTATCATTAGACATTCAGGAGCCATGTAGCCCAATGTTCCTGCTAAAACTGTGGACCCTTTTCCATGGTCAGCAAGCCTAGCTATCCCAAAACCCCCAAGTTTAGCATTGAAATATGAGTCCAACATGATGTTGCTTGATTTAATATCCCTATGCAACACACATTGTTCACATCCTTCATGGAGATAGAGCAATGCCGAGGCCAAACCTCGAGCAATATTGTACCTCATCACCCATGTTAGCAAGCTATTTTCTTTAAAAAGATGGGAGTCCAAGCTCCCATGGGACATGAACTCGTAAACAAGTAGGAGTTCTCTTTCTTCATGGCACCAACCGATGAGTTGCACCAAATTTCTATGTCTCAGCTTGCTAATGACTTTCACTTCTGATGCAAACTCCTTTATTCCCGGTTTAGACCCCCTTGATACTTTCTTCACAGCAATATGTGAGTTCAGTTCCTTCAAGACACCTTTGTAAACCCCACCAAACCCGCCCTCTCCAAGCTTTTCTTCCTCAACAAAATTCTTTGTTGCAATAGCCAACTCCTTTTATGAAAACTGTATAAATTCCTCGTTTGCAAACTCATATGAAATAGTTGAAATATGCTGATCATCTTTCTTTCCCAATCTTTCCTCTGCCTCATGGAACAAAACCACAGAATCCACAACCCTCTGACTAAAACACCGGCTAATACACCAACAAGAAGTACTGTTAGTACCCTTTTTTTTGAGTTAGGGGTTGGAGTTGCTGCAACTGGTTTGAGATCTCTTTGACTCGTTTTATTTTGATCAATTTGCATATTTGAACTGAAATCCCAGGAGTGAAGAGTATGTATCTCATAAAAATTCCCTGTTGCAGCTGTAAAGCCAAAAATAACCGATTCAGGTAAGAACTTGCTTAAATCAACTTCATAACAAAGTTGCTGAAGGAAAGGCCCTCTTTGCCCAAAGCCAGTGAGGACAACACTCAAGTTCTTGGTACTAGAATTATAAGTGATCCAAGCTTCATGCTTCTGCCCAGAATGAACAAGACTGAACCATGTCATGTTAATAACAGATATCATTGAGTTGATATTGATACCTACATGATCATTGAGTGGATCCCAAAGGTTATGGAAAGTATCAAACTCCACTGCTACAAATGGATTTGATGTTGAATTGAATATCTGTCCACCGCTTACAAGGTCAATACCGCTGCTTTGTTGGATATCAGTAAGATGGAAACTGCTTGGTGCAAGGAAGAATGTTATCCCATCACCATACTCGGTTCTGTTTTGCAAATTGATGACAAATGAAAAATGGGTAGTGAAGTCTGCCAGATTTCCGGATGAATTGTCTGTCCCAGAGTTGCATTGGCTTAAAATATATGATCTGACCTGCACACGTTCTCAAAATTCTATCATTCTGATTTATGGTCAGCTGAATGAATGGAGAAGAGGCTTTGGCATCTCCATAATACTTTATCTCATGAATGTTCGGATTGAAGCTGGTGTAATTAAAGAACAACTGAGCTGCTGCACAAGGGACTGTCATAAAGATTAAGTTGATAATCACCAAAAAAAGGCGATGAGGCTTGGGCGAATGGAGATGAGTACTCCAAGTGTTGCAGTGCAACATTGCTGGGTGTGTTAGGAGGTTTAACATATTGCATAGGCCATATAAAAGTTGCAGAAGCTTTGCAATGTTATACAACATTGTTAGAACATTAGCAGAGCTGATCCGGCTCCTTATCAACAAATTAACCGGCCATTCCACTTCATTGGTTGGTAAGAAATTAGATGAATGCCTTTAAATCCAACCTTAATCAAGTGGAATCAACAAAAACACAGACTCTAATCGGATTTCATATGATCATATACATCGAAGTATCGAAAATTTTAAGATTTTTGGCCTGCAGCTGATGACATGCTCTAGTCTGTGGATCTAAACCACCCCATGCTGGCTAAAGGCCAAGAGCTCCATCCAAATTACAAGCAGCAGTGCTTTTTCTTTCCTTTCTTTTGGCTACAGTTCACAAAATATTGGCTCTTAGCAGATAAATTATCTATATGTTTAATATGACCATCACAAAATATGAAGACTGTACCTGCTGCCACTGATCTACACAGCAATGATCAAAGGTTTGCCAATCACTTCTAGTCAAATACTAGGACTTGGAGTGTTAGATATTGGGTTTGGGTCATGGACCCGAATTGCGGCGCCCACGATGGGTTGACGTAATTAGAGAATGTCCATGGGATATGCCTCTTAATTAGAGGAGTCCTTTACCAACCAAAAGATGTATCATGTCTCTCTCCAAGGTACCTATTGCCTTGCTCGCATGTAACTAACAAATCAAGCCAACTGAAACACCTAAAGACAAGCTTTGATATATGTTAGAGCAATCAATCCACGGTTACTCAAATGACCACCTAAAGACAAGCTCTGATATATGTTAGAGCAATCAATCCAAAATCTGTTGGCAATGAGTGAAAAAACTCCTCGCCTATAGGGGAGTTGAGCCAAAAATTTTGTTCAAAGTGAATACTTTAACTATAAATTTTAAATTTTTTTTGCCACTCGATAAAAGGAACATAAAACGTTTAAACTTATTATATTATATTTGATACTCAAAAATTCATTAGATACAAAACGATTCAACGTCGATATACATAATAAATACAAAGAAGAATAATAAAAAGAGGCTAATCTCAATGAGTTTTTCATACTTTAAAAGCGTTGCATGATAAACTATAGAGAATATCTTTCCTTATATAAATAGTCAAAAATCACTCTTTTGATTAAGCAACTTAATTCTCATAGATTTCAAGACTTAAAAAATGAATTTGATCAACATGCCAAAAACTTGTCTAGACATGTCTGTAAAAGTGGAAAAGTATGTCAAAAAATTCACGGTTAATTAAGTATGTGTCTATACTACTTGATAAAGATAAGAAACACAAAATATGTAGGGTGGACACTATAAAATATACCAAAAATTATTTAAAATATATATAGATTATGATAAAAATTCAGGGTGAGCACTGGGTGAGCCCGTGCTCCTCCTAGTCCACTTCTGGCTACGCCAGTGCGCCCATATACCCGTATAAACCAACTTGGTAGTCCCGATCTTTCCATGGGGGATACAAACTCTTTTCACAAACAAAAAAAGGCCTGCATTGTTTTACAGGTTAAAGACTTGGTACATTTTTATATAATAAGAGTACATATATGAAGGATATAATAAAAGTAGCACTACTTCCAAATGGGTCTCATGTCTTATTGCTTAACTCATTTCTGACTTATTTATAATTGTGCATAGGCGGGTTCGTGCCCAAACAAATGATGGATCAAGTCCAAGGGTCCATTCCACGTTGTGAGCCCAGTTTAAATTAAGAGTCCAACAGATCCAGCAAGTTCAGCCCAAAAAAGTCTATGCTTGATCAAACTCATCAGTGTTCAAGGAGCTATATTACCAATGGAGTAAGCAGGGTCATCCAAGAGTTTCATCCACGCCGCCTTGGAAAGGGTCAACCCCCAAGTCATCCTTTGACCAAATCTTATGGGAAGCACCGCAACTACCTTATCCATTGAGAAAAGGGTGTTAGCTCTACCTGATTAGCCACTTAGTCGTCTTAATTAATTTGTTAGGAGGCGACTATAAATTGTAAGCCCCGCCAACACTTGGGGGGCATCACATACAATTGAGCACGTCTGTTATCACTCTCCTCTCTATCTCATAACTTGTATCTCTCTGCTCTCGCTACACACATGAAATAATAAAATATTTAATAATTCAAAGTGGACGTAGATTACGTTGATTGAACCACTATAAATCCTTGTCTTAGTTTTGTCTCTATCTCTCACTTCTTAATTATTGCATTTATTACTGATCACTTGATAGGCGGTGTACAAACTCAATTTATGCATAATCAGATTCATTTAGGTCAAAATTGCACTTAAATTCCAAATTTCTATAAACGGGGAGGTGATTTGATTCATGCACCACCCGTGCTCAACTGTAGATTTTTTTTTTTTTAGCAAACTGAGAAAGTGGTGTTTTTTTAAAGTAGTAAAATATTATTTTTGATGGTTCTTTGTTGCATAATGACAGAATTTTAATAGCCACAGCTCTTTGTTACATCATTCTGACAAATTATTTTTAAAATTCTTTTATGTTTTATATAATAACTATACCTAATGATGAAACATGATTATATAAACACCATAAATAATATATATATGCACTTAAGGGTGCAACTTGGGTTGGATAACCCAATTTTAATCCGAGCCTAACTTGAAAAAATTAGGGCTTGGATAAGGATTTTTAATATTTGGGTTGGACTTGGGTCCAAAAACTCCAACCCGAATTTAATTTGGGTTGAACTCGGGTTCATTGGTTCACCCTCAACCTGACAAATTAAAAAAAAATTATATATATATATATATATAAATCATTAACACTGACTTTTTATTTTTGGTGCGAAAACAGATGATCAATAATCGTTCACTATTATGAATGAAATATATGGATTATGTTTTATGAATTAGTAATTATTCTCCCCTCTCTGTGTCTTTCTTGCAGTGGACTGGTGGCAATGATTTTTATGTTCTGATTATTGTTTTTTATGTTAAAAATTTGGTTAAAGTTATTGGTTGTTAATTTATGTGAATATTATGTAATATATGTACTAGATTTAGAACAATAAGTTTATTTTGGGTTTTATCCGAACTCAACCCGAATTGAATCCTTAAAATAACCCAAAATCAGCATGAAATCATTAACCCGAATTAAACCCTTAAAATAACCCAAAATCAGCATGAAATCATTAACCCGAATTAAACTTGAGCCCGCCCAAATTAAACTCGGACAGTATTGACTTCCGTTATGAATATATTTGTTAGAGTTAGATAGGGTTAGAGTTAGAGTTGAAGATTATATATCTAAGGTTGGATTAGGATTGACTGTCCAAACCGCCCGAATTGCACCCCTATATGCACTATGAATATATTTGTAATTTCTATTTTAGGACATAATTAGTTATGATACATGCATAACTTCCATGATCGCGCTGCCTTCTCTCTCTACATATATATCATGAATGATGATAACCTATTCAAAAGAGGCATATCGAACGAAAATTCTGTTGAGATGTCTATCATGTGATGAAGCGATGGAGGCTATGCACTAATCACATTCTGGCTCCACCATAACTATTATGATATATGGCTATTCGATGAGTTCCACCAGCCAGACGAGGAAAGCTCAATGTATTTGCTTATGGAATTAAGAACCGTATGGATTGACACCTTACTAAAAATTCTAGACGGGCATGAATGCAGATTGGATTCAAAGCATTCAAGTGTCTTCCAGAAGAAAGTGTTGGGATTTCTCACGATTTAAATCCACTAACAAACACACACAATCGAAGAACAAATCAAGAATATAAAGCAATAAGAAACAAGAAAGAACAAGACACAGATTTTACGTGGTTCGGCAATTTGCCTACGTCCACGAAGCTGCAAGGATTTCACTATTGAGAGAGTTGAATACAGAGAGCGGTTGTACATCCACGATTAACCCTAATCACCAAAACAACAGGGTTTATATGTCCTACGCACTGGGCTGTATAACGGGCCCAAAAAAATTTTCCTCGGGGGCGTTGCCCCCGAACCCCCACGAGGCTTGTCCATGAGCGCTACGGCTTGGGCCTATCGGCCCAAGCCTTCGCTCCATGGACTAAGCCTCAGAAAATTTTCCATTAAAAATCACACAACATTATTTCGGGTCGGGTCATCGTCCGGATCACATATACAAACTAGACTCCATAAAAAAAAACCATAAGAAAGTAAGTGTGCCAATAATCATGATAGCAAGTAAACTTCCAAGAACACTAATAGAAAATGTAACAGCTATTTAAAAGCTCATGCTCGCTTATGCCACGAACCGTGAGCTTACAGTTGCACGTACAATCAGGCAGCAGAACACTTAGTTATATACTACATTTGTTGATTAGGATGTTATGGTCGTTCAAGCCGTAACAAGCAAGCTGTGGATATATATCGTATTATATTCATTGCAGCAAATTTTGTGTCGAAATGTTAGGTCTTTGATTTTTAGTGTAATTGCCTAATGCGATATATGTGAATTGAATAATAATATTGGGACTTAAAAATTTAATTTAATTTTTTGACCAAATAATATAATTTTATTGTAACTGTTGGACTAATACTATATTCTAATGTTTAATGGATCCCACCATCAATCCAAGAATTATAGTAAATTATGTGAATTTATACTATGCTAAATCCCAACAATGTTCCATTGATGCAATGGATTTGATTTATAACTTGATTTTTGTATTTTTTTTAACATGATATAGGGCTGAAAATTAAGTCAAGCTACTTGAATTCGGCTCGAATAAGACTTGACTAGTGCTCAAGTTTAAGTAGCTTGACTATTTTACATATAAACGAGTCAATCTTAAACAATTTTTTGGATTTGTTTAGAAAACAGGCTTAAAATTGTTTGGCTCAAATTCAGAAAGTTTGGCTTGTTTGTATATAAAATAGTTGAGTTATTTAGGTTCAATTCGTTTTGGGCTTAAATCGGACTCAACTCATTTTTTAAACGAGTC